GCCAATACTGAACTCAAATATTAAAACCATGAGCTCTGTTCTAACAATTTCTACAATTACGTTTTGTGCTGCCAAATACAAAGATTTAGGTCAGAGAAAGATTAAAAATATTAACTGTATTTATTGTGATACCCATTTTTATAACTCCCTTTTAAAACATCTCTGCATTTTCCACTAAAATTTGCAATGTGCCACACTGGACTGCTGCAGAACCCAGAGTCATGTCACACTGTGTAGATCCACTGAGTGAGTACTAATGCTCTGAGTAACAGGGTAGTTTGTGACTATATTGTATTTATATTTGTAGAAATAAATGTTAGTTTAGCACAATCTGTGACACACATGCAAAGCCCCCTTCCTATTCCATGGAAATGGCTCATCCCCAAAGGAAGCTACTAAATACATTAGGGATGTGAAGGACTAGTCAATTATCAGATAAGCCAATACTTCTTGGATAGCCGACAAGCTTGTCAACTAGTGGCTCCCCCTGCCTTTGTTGCCTCTATCAGAAAGAAGCAGGGGGAAAGAAGAAGGAGATACTTCAAAGCAGCAGCGCTGCGTGGAGCCTGGGGCCACACCCTGGGCTACACACGATGGTGCCACTTTGAAACAAATGCGGGAGCCGGGCCACAGGCTCCCACAGTGGCATTTCAAAGCTGCAGCATTGCAGGGAGCCCAAGATCAGCTGGGGAGTCCTCAGCTGATCCCAGGCTCCTTGTGGCGCTGCCGCTTTGAAGCGCTGTGGAAGTCCAATCCTAGCGTTTCAAAGGCCGGGCTCCACAGCTTTTCAAAGTGGCAGCTCCGCATGCAGCCCAGGGAGAATTTCAAAGTGGCAGTGCTGCACGCAGCCTTAAGGCTGTTGCTACACTTCAAAGGTGGAGACACCCTATTGACTAATTGAATAGCCAAAGCAAAATGTATCGACTATTTGATTAGTCAATAACCTGCAATTTAACTTCCCTAGAATACATATTAGGTTGTTGTTCCCTTTGGAGTGGAGGAAATGAGAGGAGCATCTTCAGCCCAACTAAATCAGGGCATGAGTGGAGGAAAGCAGAAAAAGTGGCTGGTGTTGGCAGTCTAGCAGGCCAAGATATTATTAATTTAATACTTTTACTGACCTCTTCAGACAACCCTCTGTCCTATTGCCAAATGAAAGCTTATTAATCAGGGGGTATATATAATTAAATTTACATAAAGCTTTTTAAATCAGACACTTAATATGTGGGTTTGTGACCCAAATCCAGGCATTAGTACCAAACTGAAGGCAACAATAACAAAGTAACTTATTTATTTTAAATCAAAATCTCAGTTTATCACAGCTCTAGCCTTTATTTGAACCTAAATAATCAAAGATGCTTTTGGCATTGCTAAGCAAAAAAAAAAAAAAAAAAAAAAAAAAAAAAAAAAATCACCATTTTGGCCATCGTTGTTCTATTATACTTTAGACAATTCTGAAACAAGACATATGCTTTAAGTTTTCATATTTCCATTTTATAATTATCTTGATGAAGTTAATTATTCATTAACTTATTCATTAATTTATTAAAGCTGTTTAATTTATAAACCTTTTCAGAATCACTTTCTTTATTTTTCATAACGCTGAATTCATTAGACAAAAGACTGGCAAAGTCAACTGTTATGTCATTTTCATAATGCGCTAAAAGCTTGCTATGAGAGTAGAGATGAGTTAGAAAACCAATGAAGATTTTCCTACCCTTTTACAAGGTGGCAGTTGCAAATTTTATTTTACTGATACCTGTATTTAAAATACAGCTGCAATTCTGTTAGCTTACAAGTTTCATTCTATGAATACATAAATACAGATTAACCTAACATCAAATTTTAAAATCTGCGGCATTTGATACATACAGATAATCCCTGATTTACGAACGAGTTACGTTCCAAACACTTGGTTGTAACTCAATCTGTTCGTAAGTCGGACCCCATTCATTTAAATGTGACCGTGCTGTTCATAAGTGTGGATCGCATTCGTAACTTGGGGACTGGCTGTACTTGACTCATATGTGCTTGGGTTTGTATGTTGCCTCTAAAAAACACTGGATCTGATTCTTTATTCTGTTACACCAATAATATAACAAAATTAAGTCTACTGTTTACTAGCTACCTCAGTAGCATCTTTCTATGGTGATTATTACTGCTAAATTTAAATGTTAAAGGCAGTTTATGATATGGCTGATTTTGTGTCTTACTTGACATTCAGAGCTTAAATAAACCAGTAGTTACCAAACTGTACTTCACAATGACACAAGTGGAACAATAATGTTGCAACTTTGTTGTCTCCTAAATGTCCTGAGACCAACAATATCTTTTACATTATTTCACCTTCTCTGTCTCTAATAGTGGAACAGGTATCTGTCAGTCTTCTGGCAGTAATGTTGCTTATTACAGTAACTGTAGACTAGTTAAGGACTAATTTAGTTGCTCCAGAACATTTTTTTTAAGATTAAAAAGAGCAGACACCTCTTTTGCAACTTGCATGGGTGCTTTAAGTCTTTATCAGGAATTTCCGTGGTATAAATCCAATCACAATAAAGGCTGGGAGAAGCCACCCACATTGGAAAGAGGCAAAACCAAAGAATGGTGAAAAACAGATCAGAATAAAGATGGTTAGCGATAAAGGGATACTGGTAGTAGTGGCAGTCTTCTGTTAATACTATTACAGAAGTGAATTTAATTCTTGGGAAAGACAGCTGATCATTTTAGAGAGTGAATTCCTTTATGCAAGGATAGGTATATCACAATACGAACGAAGGAAATGCAAAGTTCCTCCTGGGCTCTACCAAGAAGGCTCTATTAGCTTTAACTTGGAGGGGTCACCATTAGAAAAGGTAGTCCTATTTTTTCCACACTAAGTTTTTTGTTAAGACAACTAGTAAAAATGAAAAAAAAAAGAGTCAACTGACCCAGAACGAATATTAATCATTAAAAGTAATTATAACACTTTCATGTGGACATCCCCATTTCTTATAATATCTGTTAAAATGTCTGCTACTGCCTATTATTACTTGGAAGTTAATAAAAAAAATCAACACCACCAAGCAAATCTAGGTGTTGAAACATCTTATTACTTGGTGATGACATTTAAACTTGTGACCTTTTACTAAAGAGGATAAATACACTAAGCCCAGTAATTTGATTTGCCACTCTGCCTATGCTATCATTTTCCAAACTGCAAAAGCAAACTTTGTTTTACTACAAATCAATATAATCTACACTCTCTCAACTGTCCACATTTTATCTATCAGTTATGATGTAACATATGAAACGAACTACTAAGAAAACACATACAATATTTGCCTCCTCACATCATCTATTGTTGCCCAATTTTCTTTTCTTTTCTTTTTTTTTAAATTTTGCTTGGTTGTAAATGCAGTTACTCATTGTTTTTCACTTCTTTAATACTCTGTTATAATAGCCAGACACTTCTGAGACCAGATGACCAATGCAACTCAGAAGAAAAACACTTTATGAATCAGAACAAAGTGAATTGTTTGAGGAAGTGGCCCAGGGAAAAACCTGCCAGATTGGAAGCAAAACAACCCCTATCTGTTGCTGCTGCCTTAGGGTCTCTGGTCCAGAACCCGGAGTAGTGGGTGAGCTCAGGTTCTCCCCAAACCTCCCCCATGCCAACACAGAGACTGACCCACGAAGGGAGACGTAAGTAGGGATGTAAGTAATTAGTCGACTACCCAATAAGCCTATGTTTACTGAGTAGTCAAGTCACAACTCAACTACTCGCTTCGGGGAGCAGGAGCCAGTGCTAGAGGGAGCTGGCTTTGGATCCCCCTAGCACCATCTCTGAAGGGGAGGCCAGCATGAGCTGGGACTGCTTCAGTCCTGGCTCATGCTGGGTCCCTGACTGCTGCGCCTCTGCTATTTAAATGTAGTAAGAGCTTCCTGGTCTTACTACATTTAAAAGGCAGAGCTGAAATAGGGGGATCCAGGCAGCTTTTACTACATTTAAAAAGCAGAGGCACAGCAGTTGGGGACCCGGTGCGAGCTGGGACTGAAGTGGTCCTGGCTCATGCTGGGTCACCCGCTGTGGCTCTGCCTTTTAAATGCAGTAAGAGTCAGGCGGCTCTTACTACATTTAAAAGCAAAAGCTGCAGCAATCCCAGAGCTGTCATGAGCCGGAATTGCTCAGTCCCAGCTTGTGTTGCCCCCAGGAGCTAACCCCACTGCGGCTCTGCAGTTTAAATGTAGTAGGAGCCGGGCTGCCTTCACGTCAAGCTCCTACTACGTTTAAACTTCAGAGCCCAGCGGGGGTAGCGCGCACCCTCCTTATTGACTAATCGAGTAGTTGATGGAAATTGCATTTCCATTAAACATTACTTACCACCCTCTAACTAGGACTATGGAGGGGTTTTCACTCTGAAACCCTGAATAGTCTGTGATGAGTATGGCTCGGTAAGCTGTAGTCCCTGCTTCTTTAAATGGAAGGAGGCTGTGGGAAGGGCTACTGCAAGCCTCTGAGGCAAATACTATCTGCCAGCAGTGAGAGACCCATTGGGCTTGGACAGAACTGCCACAACACATGATTATTAAACGAATATTCAGGGTCCAAAGTCAAGCACTCAAAAATCGGGTAATGCCAGGATTAAGGATTCTTGTGCATATGCATTAAGATACCATCTTTAAAAACTTTATCACATATTTTTCCCCACATACTTTTTGCCCCAACAGTGACACCCTTTTCAATTTCTAACCTCTCCACATCTGCCTCTCTCTCAAAAAAAAAAATCTCAAAATTCAGAACAGTTTTAAATATAATAAAGGGAAATTGCCAGAGACTCCATAGATGTGTCACACTTGCTACTGATTTTATGTGAAAGGTAGTCAAAAACTAAAGTGATGAGTGGTGCCACAAAACCCTATGAGATTATATAGCTTAGATTTGGTAGATACTACAAATAGGTAAAAACAGAGTTGGTTAGAAGCAGTAGACTCCCTAGAGTAACAAAAAGTGCTATACTTACTCTTCCAAAAAGTGTTGCTGGGGTCCTATAATTGAGCCTGGCCGGCATATTCTAACCCAAGCAATGACTTCAGCATGTGTGAATCTATAATGTTTCATTATGTAACAGGCTATCAATGTTCCTGTTCTCCCCAGACCAGCTATAAAAGACAAAATCATTAAAATAACTATTTATATACAATTACATATATATATCACTTAAGTATTTTGAAATCAAAATATTCCTCCTTACCACTATCACAACTCTATATAGCAATTTCATCCATGCCACTTATGTTTCTTACAGAATTTGCTATGTTTTAGAAATAAAGCTAGGCAGATACCTAAACAAGCACCAAATTGTTGGAAGTTTGTTTTTGTAGAAGTGTTTAAGAAAACAATGAAGAAAGGTAGAATTGTGGATTTCATTATGATTTCACCAGTAAAACTTTTTAGATTATAACTTGCTTTTGCAATTTATTTCAATAATGATTTTTAAGGGAAGTTTTTATTTGTTATGATTACAAGATATGAAAATGTATCTAACATCCTATAATAAATGTTAAAAAAGCAAAATGCATTACCCGATAAAGTAAAATCTAAGTTTTAAGACTGACTAGTTTACAAGTTCTGGCCCAATTCCTGCAAACACTTCAGCATGGGTGTGAAAGCATTTAAATATTGGCAGGATTGAGATCCAAACTGACTTTCTGATCACTAAATCATGTTATTAAGTGAGCACTCATTCAATTTAAATGTTTTAAAAATTATGTTTGCAGATTGGGCAAACTGTACAGGCAGTCCCCGACTTACGCGGATCCGACTTATGTCGGATCCGCACTTACGAACGGGGCTTTTCTCGCAAAGCCACTGGACCCCCCCCAGCAGACCAGGGGGACAGGAGCAAAGCCACCCAGGCGGCGGGGGTCCCGCTGCCTGGGCGGTTTTGCTCACGGGCAAACGAGCAAAGCTGCCCAGGCGGCGGCTTTGCTCGGGTGTCCCTGGTCTGCTGGGGGGGCCAGCGGCTTTGCTGGGCCCC